GTCTCGTGAAAACCAACGTTTGTTTACAGGATCAAAGAAAGCAACGTTTCCTTACTTTAGCAAAGGAAAACCAGTCTCCTCTTGGCTTATATCGAAATCCTCCTACATTCTTCTTTACAAATCCTCGTTTTGTACTTCTAATTAGTGACCGTTGTTTTGTTTTGATTTCTCAACTGCGCTTCTGCGTGCGTCACTTCTGAGCGGCGCATGCGCAAAGCCGACCTCATACGTCATCCGCCCGGAACTGCTTCCGTTTACAACAGTGAGCGCAAGCTAGATTAAAGTGATTATTACGTTTTGAATATGGATATTTTTCTTACAAAAACGCATCAATTCGCTAAAGGAGGCCTTTGTTCACCGCCCGGAGCCGTGTGAGACACTTTTTTTTAATGGATGGGCACTTTTTATTTCACTTATTTTGGATTGATGCACTGCAACACCCGCTGAGTGCCATTAAACAGCTTGAAAGATCAAAGACAATTTTTTATATAACTCAGACTGGATTCGTCTGAAAGAAGAAAGTCATATACACCTAGGATGCCTTGAGGGTGAGTAATTTATGGCCTAATTTTCATTTTTGGGTGAACTAACCCTTTAATAAGCGTCAGATGCTGGATGCGTCTCATAAACACACACCAAACGCACACATCGTGCAACCCTAACCAAGCACAACACTTCCAGAAGTAACAATCCCAATCATTCTCTCCATAGAAAAATCAATGTTTAGTGGTAACATGCAAACATTTCAGTAAAGACCTACCATAAGCTCTGAAGTTAAATGATTAATTATGATTCTGCAAAAGCCATGAGTCATTCAAATTCATATTTAAACAAAGTCACTGTCACCATAGGAATTTCTGCTAATGAGTATGAGCAGTGACATCCCACTCGCATGAAGAATGATGCAACTGAATCAGTTTCTTTACACTATCGAACTCACACTGCCTGAATATTTTTTAAAAAGCTTAAATTAAATTAAATATATACTTACTGTAGAATCAATTAATAGTTTTATAGTGTTTTTTTATACATTACCGTTCAAAAATGTGGTCTGTAAGATTTATTAATGTTTTGAAAGAAGTCTTCTGCTCACCAAGCATTTACCTGACTAAAAATACAGTAAAAACTGTAATATTGTCAAATATTATTACAACTTAAAAATAACTGTTTTCTATATGAATATATTTTAAAATGTAATTTATTTCTGTGAATTTTCAGCATCATTACTCCAGTCTTCAATGTCATATGATCCTTCAGAAATCATTCTAATATGCTGATTTGCCGTTTAAGACAGAAATATTTATAACTATAATGAATGTTGAAAACAGTTGTGCTGCTTAATATTTTTGTGGAAATCATGATAATATTCTTTCAGGATTCCTTGATGAATATTTGATAAACATTTATTTGAAATAGAAACATTTTGTAAGATTACAATGTCTTGCCACTTTTGATCAATTTAAAGCTTCCTTTCTAAATAAAAGTATTATTTCTTATTAAAAAACACATTTTGAATGGTAGTGCACCTATGGAGAAAACGAATGGGAAAAATACTTCCAGAAGCAAAGCCGCTGAGAATGTGGTTAAATGTGAAAGAGTGAGAGTCAGATCTTTCTACTGGAGTGAAATCCTCTCATGACTGCTCTTGAAGAACCACTAAAACACACCTTTACACAGTGAGAACTGGTTTCAGAAGCCCCAAAGATCCAAAGATTCATTCAGAGATTTATTTAAAAGAAAAAAAAAAAGCTTAATTTTAAAAAACAGACTGTACAACATCATGTCAGATTGAATGATGCAAGATTGACAGCACCGATGGTCAGTTTTACTCCATCAATATATGTCAAATTCCTCATTGACATGCACAAAGCCAAGAAAGCCCTTGAGGAAAAGGGGATTTCGTGGACTGTGAACTTCGATATGATCATAACATGATAGGAATGCTATATAATAAGACTGATTGTCTCCAACAGCAAAAATCCTACAGTATGCATGCAGCTTTGGCTCAGCAACAACTGCTGCCAAAGTCTGAAGTCCTTCATTCTGTCCCAACGTATTCCCCACACGGCTGGGCATAGACACTTATTCCCACATTCAGCAGTGGACAGGAGGATGATGATGGCCTGAAGCTACAGCAGCTGGAGACCATTGGGACGCTCTGTTTTGGGAGACACACAATGTGACCTTGGAGTCATCCGGACTGAATCCAGTGAATAACAGATAACCCAAGAGCACGAGTCCTTACTCAGCTGATGAGTAGGAGAAAAAGAGCTTAGAATGACAAAAAGTTTTAACCTCTCAAATCATCCACAGAAACAGACCTCATGGAGCATGTTTGTTAAATGAAAACACCATATTAACCAGAAAAGAGAAGTTTAACAAGACAAATTTGAATTTTGTTCTGTGATTAGGGGTTTTGCAAAAAAAAATATGTCTTGACTTTGACAAGCCAACACAATTAAACACACTACCGTTCAAATGTTTGTGATCACTACAGTTTTGAAATTAAAACTTTTATTCCACAAGGAGGATGCATTAAATTGATCAAAACTGACAGTAAATACATTTATAATCTTACAAAAGGTTTCTATCTCAAATAAATTCCTTTCTTTTGAACTTTCTAATCATCAAAGAATCTTGAAAACATAAATGTATCACGATTTCTACTAAAACTAAAGCAGCACAACTGTTTTTAACATTGATAATAAGAAACGTTTCTTGACCAGCAAATCAGCATATTACAATGATTGCTGAAGGATTTCTGTGATACTAGAGTAAAGAATGCATTTTAAATATTAAATATTAAAACAGAAAATAGTAATTTTAAATTGTAATAATATTTCACAATTTTTTGGCTGTATTTTTGATAAAATAAATGCAGCCTTGGTGATACAAGAAACAGTTTGATTTTAGTATTAGTTCTATACTATTATATTATTTATTCATATTTTGAATTAGAATTTATTTTTATAATTCCAGTTTTCATTTTATATTCAATTTAGTTTGTCATTTTCTTCTCTTATTTTTTAATATTTCTATTTATCTGTCATTTATTTTTATTTCTGTTTTAGTCATTTTAGCAGTGTAACTTAAGCTTATTTCAGTCAGGTGTTAAGGTGACATTTGTAATATAAAATTTTTTTTAAATTTAATTGTATTTTATTTTAGCTTTATTTCAATTAACAGAAACTATTTAAATAGATTTAGTTTTAAAAACAACAACAGTGATGTGAATCGTATTTAATAAACGCAAAAAATTGTTTTGCTGAAAAATCCAGCATTGCTGGTCACCAGCATAAGGTATGTTTTGCATGCTGGGACCAGCATGGGATGCTGGTTGCTGGTCCCCAGCAAGGCCACAACAAAACTTGTGTATGTGTTACATATCACGTTTCTTTTGAAATTGGTTTGTGTTTGTAGTTAAAGACCAAGACAATTTTCCAAATGAATTTTAATAAATTATTTAATAAAGAAAAACACAAGTTGCTGGTTACATGTTTACACAGTTAAATCCCCAGTGTTAAACAAACACTGCTCAGTTTTCACATGGTCCTGATCTATAGAGAGTAAAAGTAAAACTGAAGCAGTGTTGTAGTTAGTGAAATACAGCAGATTCACTCTACATGTGATGACTGAGCATTATTGATGACACCTACTACTATAGATTTAGTTTTAGTTAAAAACAACAACAGTGATATGAATCTTATTTCATAAACACGCAAAAAATTGTTTTTACTGATCCCAAACTTTTGAATGGTAGTGTACAGTATATGGCGTTGAAATGAATCAGGACATCAACTCTCCTAGTGTAAAGGTGTGTTTAATATAATGATTTCAAGAGCAGTTGGGTGTTAATCCCATAGAACAGTTTAAACAACACACACGTCAAACCATGCATCTTACATGAGAAACACTTGAGAACAGCTCTGGGTTTCGACATCACACACGTAGAAACCTTCTTACAAAGGCTATGAGGGACTGAGAGACACAAAACCAACATGGTCAATGGAAGAGGAAACTCGCTGTGCTTCTCCTTCAGACTTTCTCTCTCTTTGTTAACTTCAACAAGCCCACACCACTCCAAACTAAAGACAGCCACACAGAAACTGCAGTGGTGGTCCGTCAGAGGAGGTTTGAGGCTGAGGCTCTTGTATAATTTAGTCTATGTTGTGTTGAGCACCAGCAGGCCTGATGACGCATTACAGCGAGACTCAAAGTTTGTATTAATGTCAGATGAACACAAATTATTCTCTGATTCTCCTCTGACTCACCCATCCCTTTGGAGTGGTTGAAGTCTCCTTTGACGATCCAGCAGGATTTGCCATCACCGTTGCAGACGCCGCACTGGTCTTCTTTTGCAGAAGAACCGATGATGCCGTCACAGCCGATTTTCTGCAGGAGGTAGAGTAAGAAAACAAAAAGACTGATTTCATGAGTCATGACTTTAAAAAAATGTGAAAAAAAAATTGATTGGTACGAATTCATTTGTACGCGTGGACTGTAAAATGTCACTCCAAACCGGTATGCTGTTTATTTGTCTGCATAACACAAAAATATAATCTTCACACAGCTCTAAAACAAAGCCAAACACTCCCAAATTACTCCCCATTTTAGGGAGTATTGGCCTATATTTAGTAAATTAAATTAAATTAAATTTAATTTAATTTAATTTAATCTATATTAAGTAGATACTGTAAGTTCTATACACTAATTTATTTATTAATTAATAGGTCAAAATTGAGAGAAATATTTTGTAATTTTATAAATGTATTCGAATAATGACTACTTCAAATAAATGCTGTTCTTTTAAAATTTCTGTTCATCAAAGAATCCTGAAAAGAATGTATCATGATTTCTAAAGGATGTGACACTGAAGACTGGAGTAATGATGCTGAAAATTCAGCTTTGATCACAACATACATACATATACACACACACACATGCACACACAAGTAATAAATAATCACAATATTTTCAATATTATGAGTCCATATAATGGACAAATGAATAAATATGACAACACAATAAACATATTAAATGTACATGAGGCTCAGTAAAGCCTTTTGATTTATCATATTTAAGAAACGAAAAACATCTGGAATCAAAGATGCTCTAAAATATGGTGTGTCATTTTATGAAAAAAAGATATGTTAAGATTCTTCAAAAAAATCGTCTCTAGGTTACGCATGTAACCATGGTTCCCCGGGAGAATGAGACGCTGCGTCGAAACGCTATGGGAACGCCTTCAGCGTGACC